CGCATTCATTACTGTTATTTTAGTTTAATAAATGTTTGGATTGACAAATTATGCTTTTTTATATCACATTGGATTTGTATGTGTTACGATTGCAAGTGTAAAAATTACAATGAAGAAGAAGGATATTTATTTATTTTTTTTGGTTTTACAGATTTCCGACGGCTTTCCAACGAAAATCCAATGACTCTCAATATATTTGTCATATAATTTGACAAATAATATCCATCAGTTAGTTTACCGACAAAAACCTAACAAACCTTTGATGAGATATCGATGGACCGACGACTTATTCTGACGGCCACCAGACCCACAAACAGTTGCAATTTTCCTTTCATGTTCCAATTTACATATGATAAATTGCATGTCGGTAATTTTCGATGATTTATCAACGCAATATCGATTGAGTCTGACATTTTTGAGTGGTCGATTATGATTATCGATGGATACTATTGGCTCAACAATCATTTGCATTTCATCTAACATCGACGAGCTAGGCCAGTTGGAAAGTCATCAGTAAATTCGTCGATTTAGTAATTACAGACAAGCAATCTACCCACGCCCCATAAATCGCTGCTAAGCCGTCGGCAATATATTAGCCGACAATTTTATAATATTAGCATTTGGCTTTTGACTGTCAGAAATAGACTAAATTCTTGTAGTGAGAGAAGCTTGTTTGAGGTAAGATTAATAAATTAATTATGTTTGGGGCTAGATCACCAAATGTGCCAAAATTTTGTAAAATCCTAAAATTTTTAACAATTCCAGGCTTGCACTATACGGCAAGCTCGAGGCGAGCTGAGGAAACTCATCACAGGGCTGTTTTATAAATTCAAGTGAAGTAATACTATGCTAACTTGAGAAAAATAACTATCAGTAGGTTTTCATGCCATTATGTGTTGACATCATTGCATTTAAAAATTTATGTATATTGTGAATGAATACTTGTATAGATTATATGAATGCAAAATTGATTTGTCACATACGATACTTTTGATTTTACTATATTACGAATTTGATGAACATGCTCATGAAGTCGTTATTTACAAGTATTCATTTAGTATGATTCATGTATATGACATATGAAATGCTTATGATGAATGTTTGTTATAGGAATCATGATTTAGATAATGCCACAAGTGATATTATATGTAAGCGATTACATAATTACTCGCAAATATAGATGATAGGAAGTAATGGGTTTCCCCATTTATGGTATTCAGGCATAGACGAAACTTCATAAACCGTTGGGATCAAATGAAGACGGAATGTAAGAAGCAGTTGGTACCAAAGGGGACTTATTGATAACTGGTGTGTTGGGATGAACTCAACTTTTATCAATAACAAATGTGGCCTTCGAGCTGAGTGACAAGCCAATGATATGACATGACATGAGAAAAATTAAGGTCTATACAATTATAAGTGACATTTATATGATTAGATTGATGACTTTTATAGATATGCTTATGATTACGCATACATGGATGATTACTTGTTTTATACAACTATCATGTTTTCCTACATTACATGCATTTTCTTTTACGTATTTAATACAATTATAATATGTTATAATGTGTTATGAACATGCACTTTAGTTACATACCAGCGTGTTATAACTTGTTAAGAACATGCACTTTAGTTACATACCATCATGCACGTTGTTTCTTTTCCATCTATAAAATCGTATTTTAGCTTTAATTATTTTACTCAGCTCGATGTTGTTCACTCTACATTACTAACTTTCAGGAAGAGATAAGGAGCACAGAGCGAATAGAAAGTTGTAACTTGTCTAGTTTTTGAATTTCATAGTTTTGTGTTCTTGTACAAACTTCTGGTCTACAGTTTTATTATTTAGGAATTATAACAACAACAAAGCCTTAATCCCACTACGTGGGGTCGGCTATATGAATCATCTTTCTCCATTGCGTCCTATTTAGTGCATATTTTCATTTAGTTCTAGTAAATTAAGACATTTTAATACAATAAGCCCAAGTCTTCCTAGGTCTACCTCTGCCTTTCTTAACACAAGTCGAATCTAAAACATCTACTCTCCTAATCGGATCATCAAATGGTCGACGTTTAATATGACCAAACCATCAAAG